ATTTCCTGGAGGAAGTATAATAGCCAAGTCAACTCACTCGTCGTATGCGTCATTGCCCTATACTCAGCCTCAGCACTAGATCTTGCTACCACTGGTTGTTTCTTACTTTTTCATGAGACAACATTACCTCCTAAGAAAGTATAATAACCAGTAGTTGATCTCCGATCAGAAGGAGAACCAGCTCAATCAACATCTGAGAAACCTTTCACTCTAAGATGTCCATTAACTCGATATAACAATCCAAGGCTAGGAGCACGTTTGAGATATCGTAGAATACGAGTAACTACCTCCCAATGTGGTACTTTAGGACACCCCATAAACTGACTTACCATACTGACTGCATAGAAAATATCTGGTCGAGTAATAGTGAGGTAATTGAGCTTCCTAGTCAATCTGTGATACCGACCCGGATTCTCAAATAGTGCACCATCATCCATCAACAGTTTTTGATTCAGATCCATAGGAATATCAATCGGTCTGCCACCCAGCAAACCTGCTTCCTCTAGCATGTCAAGTACATATTTCCTCTGAGATAAACAAATACCCTGTTTAGATCGAGTCACCTCAATACCCAAAAAATACCTGAAGTTTTCTAAGTTCTTCGTATGAAATCGATCTTGCAGCAAGGTTTTTAAATTGGCAATCCCCTTAGAGAATCATTTCCAGTAATCACAATATCATCTACATCGATCACCAATAGAACATATCAAGCATCCGTCTGTCTATGAAACACAGAATGGTCTGTCTGACATCGAAGAAGACCAAACTCTAAAACTGCTTCTGAAAACTTATCAAGTCATGCCCTCGGTGACTGCTTCAAACCATATAAAGATTTCTTTAACCGACATACACTCTCGTACTCCCCCTGACCCTGAGCAGTAAACCCAGCTGCTCTATATATACCTCTTCAACCAAGTCACTATGTAAAAAGACATTCTTAACATCCAACTGAAACAAAAGCCAATAAAGATTAGCAGCCAAAGAAATCAAGATTCAAACAGAGGAAAGTTTAGCAACAGGAGAGAAAATCTCTTCATAACCAACACCATAAGTCTAAGTAAATCCCTTTGCAACAAGTCGAGCTTTGAGATGCTCCACAGAACCATCCGAATGAAATTTAACAGTATACACCCAACAACAACCAACAGTTCGTTTACCAGGAGATAAAGGAACAAGATCTCAAGTCCCATTATGATGTAAGGTATCCATCTCCTCCTCCATAGCTTTCCTCCAACCCGAATCAGATAACGCATCCTGTAAGTGCTTAGGAATAGAGATAGTAGATAATTGAGAGATAAAACAAGAGAAGACGGGAAACAAGGCATCATATGAAACAAAATGAGCAATGGGATGATTAGTAACACATGAACGAGTACCTTTGCAAAGAGCAATAGGTAAAGAATCTAAATTATCTGATGTACCAGGATCAGCAGAAGGCAAGGAAGACAGTACAGGCACCTCAGGCAATGGGCGAGGACGACGAGAGTATATAAGAAGAGGTAAAGTGGATGGTGACACAGTGGGCAGCGAAATATCTGACGGTGAGGGAAGAGATAGTGATACAAGAGACGTCCCAAAGTCTAGATCCAAAGGCTGAGCAGGTGCTAGAAAATATGGAATAGATTCCTCAAATGTGACATCGGCACTAGTAAAGTATCGTCTTAAGGAAGGACTATAGCAACAATACCCCTTTTGTGTGCGAGAGTATCCAAAAAATACACATTTGGTAGCTCGAGGGTCAAGTTTATCAAACTCAGGGTCCAAGTTGTGAACATAACAGACAGACCCAAAAACCTTGGGAGTTAAAGAAAATAAGGACTTACCAGGAAAAAAGACAGAATATGAACTTTGTCCATTGAACACAGATGATGGCATACGATTAATAAGATAACAAGCATTGAGAACAGCATCACTCCAAAAATATCAAAAAATATTCATCTAGAATAACAGTGTACGGGTCACTTCCAACAAATGACGATTCTTGCGTTTAGTAACACCATTCTGTGGAGGTGTACGCACAAGAAGTCTAATGGATAATGCCAGTTTTACTAAGATAAGCTGAAAAAGAATCAGATTTATATTTCTGAGCATTATCAGAACGTAAAATACGTATACAACAACCATATTGAGTTTTTATTTCCTTGCGAAAGGTCTCAAATATAGAAAATAATTCAGAATGAGCTTTCATAATAAACAACCATGTCATACAAGAATAATCATCCACAAATGACACCAAATAAGGATATTTATTAGATGAAATATTCTTTATTAGACCCCATACATCATAATGGACCAACTCAAATGGACTAGACACACGATTATTGACTATAGACTAAAATGACACACGGTGATGCTTACTAAGTTGACAAGCTTCACAAGACAAAGACGACATACAACTAAGAGTGGGAACTTGGCGCTTCACATTTTGGATAGAGGGATGTCCAAGACGACAATGCCATTGAAAAAAAGACAACGAGGTCTGTAGAGCCCGAATAGGTGAATCAAAATCAAAGTAATATAGGCCACCGGCTTCATGTTCCGTACCAATCTTCCTCTTTGTCCTGAGATCCTGAAAGGCACAATAAGAGGGATAAAAGGTTACAGAACAATTGAGAGAACGAGTAATCTTACTAATGGAAAGTAAACTAAAAAGAAACTGAGGAACAAATAACACGGATGATAGAGACATATCAGGACTCAAGTAAGTAGTCTCTATACCTGAAACTTTAGAACAAGTACAATTAACAAGAGTAACACTACGTGTAGAAGTAGCAGACTGATAAGTAGAAAAAACATCAGACACACCAGTCATGTGGTCAGAAATGTCAGAGTCTATGATCTAGAGACTACGGGTGGAAGACAATAAACAAGTGGAAACAGTACCTGACTAGGCAAAAGTAGCAGTGGAGGGAGATGGAACAACCTGGGACAAGAACTGGGCATACTCCTCTCGATCCAGTGTAATAGTAATTGACCCAGTGTCTGGTGGAGCTGACCGAGGTACGGAAGCAACAATCAAGGTGTCATCCTGATAAGAAGCTTGATTAGCAGCACCAGAAGGTTTTCCACGTAAATCCCAACAGAAGTCAACAGTATGCCCTCCAGGACCACAGTGAGTACAAGAACAAGATTCACTGTGGCCCCCACGACCACTCGTACGACCTCCTCGCTCTCCACGATTACCACGGCCACCTCAGTGATCATCACTGTGACTACTAGGAACCACAAAAGATGAGCGATCAGTGGAGACACCATGATCAATGCCTAAAGGAGTAGACAGAGTAGCACGCTGTAAACGAGAGAAAATCTCAAGTAGAGGGGGAAGACTAGAACCACCCAAAATCTGAGAACGGATAGCCTCATATTCAGGTTTCAATCCTACCAAAAATCTAACAACATCCAAATTCTCATGTTGCTTCTGCCAAACTGCTACATTAGTAGTGAACGAATAGTAGAGCTTCAACTCCTCACAGACTCCCCGAACGTGGGAGTAATAATCCTCAAGACTCAGAGTACCCTGATCCAGCTGGAAGTACTGCTTGCACACCTCATAAGCACGGGTAAAATTACCTGTGCCAGAATACATAGTAGCCAAGTGATCCCATATCTCTTTGGCAGCGTCAAGGTAAAGCAGGGTAGAACTAATACTCGGCTCAATGCTATTCAACAGTAAAGAGATAATTTGAGCATTCTCTTGTTCCCACTGATCATATCCGGAAGTATCTTTCTTAGGTTTGGGATTAACTAAATATTTCTTAAAACCTTTACCTCGAAGTAAAACTTGAACAAAATGGGACCATAAAGTATAATTGGTCCCATTAAGTTTAACGGAAGTCATAGGACCATTAATAAGAACTGGAGAAGTAGGTGGCAAAGATGGAGTAATAGCATCTTGCTTAGGTTCTATAATAATATAGCAGATAGCAAAAACAGGAGCAACCTTACTGCTGGATAACGGAACGGAGCAAGCAAATAGTAAAAAAAAGACAACCTGACTGCTAGACACCTGAACAGAGTAAGAGGAAGCAGCTAGACTTCTAAACAGACAAAAGAAGACCACTGGATAACTGAACCGAACTGAAAGGCCTCGCTGGCCCGCTGAACCGGACTGAAAAACCTTGTTGGACTGCTAAATCAGCCAGGAAAGATAAACTAGATCGCTCAACCGAAGGGAAAGTTGCTGGAACTGGTGCCAAACTAACTAAACCGAGACTGAACCGGCCTGGAGTGGACCAAACCGGGATTGAACCGACCTAGAGTGGATTGAACTGGTCTGGAGTGGACTGAACCGGCCTTGAACCGGTCTGGTCTGAGTCTTAGGCTAGACCGATTTTGGTTTGGATCTTGGGCTGGACCGGGTCTTGGACTGGAACCGACCCGCAACCAACCCCAATGGACTTCGTCTTCTTCAGATTAGGGTTTCAAGAGAACCCTGTACAGTAGCCACCACCACAACACCACAGCAACCATACCACCACAACATCACAGTAACCACCGCAGAGGCCACCAACGTCGACAATCAACTCAATAGCCACGATCGACTCACAGGCACCTAAGTCAACAACACCTTACAGTCGAAATCTCCACCCCAGATGTTGTACCACCACCACCACAGTGTATCACAACCACTGTGTAACACCAACACGACGCCAGAACTCCGACAATAACACAGTGACACTACCTCAACAGTAACGTCACCGAGCCAAGTAATTTCCAGAACACAAACACAGACTAATACTAATATTTGTATTTAGAATCGTATTGCTCTGATACCATGTTAAGTTTAGAGAATAAACTCAATACTAGAAAAAGACGGAGAGTGGTCAAAACCTAACCTACTCTCACAAAATCACTTGTATTTATAGTTAACTCATAATATAAGAATTACACATACATCCTCTTGTATTTACACATAGTACCCTAACACTATTAACAATCTACACACAATACCCTAATACTCTTAACAACCATAAAACATAATTTGTCCCTTTAAGTTTGACTGACGTCATAAGACCATTAAATAGAGCAGCAGAAGGCAAACCAGGTGGCACAGCAAGAGAAGTAACAACGAATATATCATCATTCTTGGATTCTATACTAATAGGGAGGCTGACTAGTGTTGAACAATGCAAAAAAGAGACTGCTTAGTGATGAACAATGCAAAAAAGAGACTGTTTAGTGATGAACAATACTGGACAGTAATAATCCGGAGTTGAACAGAACAAGAGAGCTTGTTGGATTGCTGAACCGGCCAAGAAACAGTTGTTGGGCCGCTGAACTGGACAATAACAACATACTGGACTGTTGAACCGGGCGGTAAAAATTCACCAAGCCACTGAACCAGGGACAAACCTTTGCTGAACCACTAAACCGGGAAGGTGAGGTGCATTGGACCAATAAACCAGACAAGAAAGGTTCACAGAACCACTGAACCAGAGGAAGAACCAGTGGAAAACTGACCAAACCGTGATTGAACCGGGTCTGGATCTGGGTCTGGGTTTGGATCTGGGTCTAGATCTGAATTGGGCTTGAACTAATTTAAACTTGTGGACTTGGACCCATTACCCAAACCAGCACCGACCCGTGAGGGTTGTCTTCTTCCACGAACTAGGATTTCAACCAAGCCTTGTTTGTTGACAGTGCTCACACCAGTCGACACCACTAAGAAATCTCAGCAACCACACCACCACAGTAGCCACCGGAGGCCACACCAGTCGACGGTGCCACACACACAAGCAACGATGGCACTACCACAGCGACGAGAAACTATACCAACAACGATTGAGGAACATCAACGACGACACCACATCACCACCACAATGATCAACACCAAGAGCAACTCAGTAGAGATCACACAATGAACCACATCACCACCTCGATTTCACGCCAAAGCTTCATCAGTGGGGATGCACAGAATCAGGGCAAACCCATTCGACAAGCGGACTCAGCAGAGACGCAAACCACCAAAAAAAAAAAAGAAAAAAAAGAGAAGAAAGAACAGAAAGAGAGAAGATAAAAAAAAGTGATTAAAAGGATTAATAGGAACGTGGCTCTAATACCATGTTAAGAATAAAGAGGAGTTTAACACAATATGAGAAAGACAAAGAAAGGTTTTGGCATAACCTACCTCTCATTATTGGCCTTATATTTATAGTAACTGAACAAAGAAATAGAATACGACTATACCTTTTGTGTGATATACATCTTACAATAAACGTAAACCCTAATTACATTATAGTAACTTTCCTAATTGTACTATAGTAACTTTCTCAACATATGGAAATAAGTTATATTTGTTTAACTTTTGTAGAGGTTTTTCAATAGTCCGAAAAAGTACGATACCTCTGCATTACTAGAAATTTGGGTGAAACCAAACAGAGATAACAACTATTAATGCCTTACTCGACCAAGGGATCAAATATGTATGTTCAACTTTTCTGTTTCCATATTCATCAAGCACCAGAGCACAAAATCATTTTTTTTTCTTGATATATGTCCAATTCAAAGTTTGTACTTAAGTTTTATTTACTTAATTATTGGTGGTACGTCACCTTAATTCTTCCTTCTCTTGATCATCAGTCCACCACATTATGTAACAATGAATTCCTTTACGAAGGGCCTTGTATCTTTGTCGAAGGTTTATAAGTAATATGAACTTCTAAGTTGTTTTTATGTTGCATAAGCTTCTTAATATGATTTACAAAAATTGTTTTACCTATAAGTCATTGGCAGCATTCACCTATAATGAAAAGTAAACTTTACCTCTTCTTACATGCTTTGATTTGTTCATGTATTAAATATTTGTGGTTCAATTTATTGAAGAGGTAAAACTCTAGAGGTGTTGATGGTTTTTCTATTTTTTAGTTGGTAGCGATGGCACAAAGAACAGTTACAACATGATAGAGCGCAAAGATATGATTCCTCTATTACTTATGAGGCAACAGTGGTGGCACCTTTAGAAGTAATTACCATTCTCCATTGTTTGTACTTTGTTTGTACTTTGGGTTTTTCTCAAACTTTGTGTTTATTTTGCGAAGCATTACCAAATTTTTTCATCGTTCTTTGATCAATATTTTCATTGTGGTTGTCTGAGAGACCAATTGCTTGATATATATTTTATTAATTGTTTTATTCTTTTGCTTGCATTATGAAAGTTACAAGTTTAATTTTTTAGGGGCGATTAGGCGTGTATTTTTTTTTTATGTTGATCATTTGTGACTTTAATTAGACAAATAAATATTTGTATGATGGATGTTTTAATGCTCATTAGTATGGATATCAGAATTAGTTTTCTGTAATTTTTCACATATTTTGCATGTCTTGGTTAAAAATCATTAAATCTACTTTCTCAATGGTCCTGTTGTAACTTCAACTCAAACTATCTAAACTTGGAATCTCAAGGTCATTACACGCTTTTATCCAAAGCTCATCAAGCAAGTGATTTTAAAGTGCTTGGCTACATGTCAAACATCAAAGAAGCTATTGCAACAGGCAATGTTCTTAGGATGGACACCCATGTGCCCAAGGTCTTTTCCTTGGTGTTTCAATTTTTATAGCGCAAAAGCCCTAGAGGTTTTCACTTATTTGAGCTGTGGATTCAATCGGATTATGTTGGTATTAACTTTTTTTTGTCTTATTTATTATTTTAGTTCAAAGTTTTCCTTTTTGGCTTAATTTCAATGCTTTGGTTTGACCATTAAACTATTTGTGTTGGGCATTGTGAAAAGAAAAAAAAAGAGTATTTTAATTGGTATTGTAGGGTTTGTCTTTTGACAATTTATGTGAAGGTTGGAGACTTGATTTGAATATTTGATTCAGAAGCTGCTTTTGATAGTCATAGTTTGATTTATATGTTTATTGAATGAAATGTAAATTTGAGTTTACAATTATGCCGAAATTCATTGGAAGCCAGCTGGAAATTTTTTTTTGTACATAAAAGTTAATTGTAGAATGCTCACAACAAAAGCTGGATATCATACAGGGAATAGGCTGTGTTGGCGGGTGAAGTTTGTTGGAATGGCCTTGGATTAATGGGTTTCCATTTTTGCATGCAGATGTGTGTGGGATGAATGGAGATTCAAATTTTGTAAGTTGTGATTTTTTGTTATTATATAGTGCATTCAGGCACGGTCATTAACTATTCTTAACTTTTCATAACATAACACTAACAAATAAAACCAAATAGGTACAGTCTCACCTTAATGATGTTTAAATTCCTTAAAACCACATTTCTATTTGAACTCAAAAACGACAGACTACAATGCGTATACTGTTCATAAAGGCATACCTAAAATAATTAAAAGAGCGCAGTCCCTATATCTGGAAAAGTAAACAAATCCAAGCTAAATTTACTCACATAAAACATACAAACTCAATTAATACATGGAAATACATCAAAAAATTACACCAATAACTGAAACGAAAACAACCCAACTGAAAAACAACTTGTAAGAATAAATTTTTCACCTGATCGCGAACCGGGACCGTAACAATTCGCTGGGAGGGGAACACACCTCGTTTGGGAGGACGTCGAATGGTGGAGAATCTGCGCTTGCAAATTGGGCATTTGGACTCGACCTTGGCCCATTCCATTATGCAAACGAAGCAGAAGTAATGCTCGCAGCTATCAATCCACCCTCTGATTGAACTACCCTCTTCTGATAGGCAAATCCCGCAGCAATTAGTTTCTGAATTGGTAGTTGCTGATTCATTATCATCTTCTTCTTTTTCTCTCAGTTTGGCTTTGCCTTTGGATGAGGATGTAGGTGAATCTTCTGGGGTTTTGAGGCGTTTGTTTGGAGAAATTTCGAGGGAATTTTCGTGGGTTTTCTGGGTTCGGTAGAGAGAGAGTTGTGAGGTGGTGTCCGACTCAGTCGCCATTGGTAGTCGCTGGTGTTCTCTAACGGGTTGGTTTTGGTTTGTGGAGCTGAATTGAAATGCCGGCGAAGTGAACCGACTTGATTTTACATGCTACTATATTTGTATTTATATTTTACTTATAAATGATGTAAAAAAAATTAAATTTTTATTAAATCTCTAATATTCAGTACAAAGTTAATTATATCATAATATTTACTTTAAAGGGTAAATTTCATTGATACCCCTTATATATTAGCATAATTTTAAGGACACCACCTATATTTCTTGAAATATCATTGACACCCCTATTAGTAATTGCCAGGTAACCGAAAAGTGGATGGAAAGTAATTTTTTATAAATTTACCATTGACAGATCATAATAATTTACATGTTTAACTCTAATTTATGTACATATAAATAAGATAGTGTTTGATAAAATTGAAAGTTAATCACTGAACATTGAATACTAAATTTAAATTTTGAATGTTGAATTTTTTAATTTACAGACTGTTTGTTATCAACTAAAATTTAAGTATTGAATTTAATCGAACTGTTTAACAAATATAAGAAGTTAAATTCTAAAAATTATTATTATTCTAATTTTGCTCTTCTTTTTAACCATATCTCTACAACTGTCTTATTCCTATCACCACCATCATAATAGTGGTGGTAGTAGTGGTGACGACAATGGTGGTGATGGTGATGGCACAATGGTAATGGTTGTGGTGACACAATAGTAGTGGTGGCGACAGTGATGATGATGGTGATGGTGATGGTGATGGTGATGATGGTGGTGGTGGCAATGACAGTGATAGTGGCACAATAGTGGTGGTGATGGAGGTGACAACAGTGGTGGTGGTAGTAGTGGCACAATGGTGGCGGTGACATAATGGTAGTGGTGGAGACAACAACATAATGATGGTGAAGATGGTGGTAGCGATGATGGTGGAAAAGGTGGTGACAATGGTAAAAGTGGTAGTGGCGGTGACACAATGGTAATGGTGGCGGCAGTAGTGGTGGTGGTGACAGTAGTAATGGCATAATGGTAGTGGTGATGGTGGCGACACAATAGTGGTGGTAATGAAGGTGGTGGTGGTGACAATGATGGTGGTAGTGGTAATGGTGGCACAATGGTAGTAAGTAGCGGCAGTGATGATAGTGGTGGTAATAGTGGCGGTGGTACAATGGTGGTGGTGGTGGCGACGATCATACAATGATGGTAAGGGTATTTTTATCCATTATGAGAAATTGATAAAATCTTTACTGACTAATATTTTCAGTATTAAGTGATAAGTAGGTGATTTGCTATTTAAAATTTTAGCCTATTTTTTAGAAGTGTTTATGAGTTTTAGGTTATCAAAAGGGTTTAATTTATTAAACACTTAAAGTATTCAGTTTTAAACCTTAAGTGGTGTTATCAAACAGCCCCTAAATCTACAATTTAAATTGCTGGGTGTTTATATTTGATATATATATATATATATTGAATATAAACACACATTTATTATAGGTAGTAATTTGAATTGCATACTTATAAAATCACAACAACGGTTGAATTTAAATTTAATCTTTATCTAATTTCATTTAATGATACAAAATTTATTATAAAAAAAATCTCCTAAAAACATTATCTTCTCTACACAGCTCCCACTGTCCAACAACTCAACCAAACACTCTCCAATATTAGATAACCTCAATATTCCACATCTCCCTCTCTTTTGTCTTAAAAACAAAATTGTTGTGGGTGAGCTAACTACATGCTCAGTAAGTATATTCGAGACATATAGAATGAAAATGTATAAACACAAAATAGTTACAATAGGTTACACATAATAAAAGTGGAAACTATTATTCGACTATCCAATATCACTTGGAAGTCTCGACGAGAATTAATGACAATCCGTTTTTGTTTGAGAGTTTCGACAATCACTTCCCTACCCCGTTTACACTTGGGAGTCTTGACAACCATTAATTTTGAAAAACACACAAGAATCATCTCAAGTACTTGAACCCACAACCAAAACACAAATCATAAAACTACTAAATCACAATCTAACTATTTATACATAAGTATGGCTAGTAACAACCAATCACATTTTTAATCAATATGAATCAATATACTCATCTTAGGTTTAATTTCAAAACCAAAAATTAGTCTTCTTGTGATACCTTAGGTGGAATTGATCTCGATATCGCCTTCGCACCTAACACACATGTTTTTATAAGACACGACTATCATTTGTAAATGCACTATGTTATATGTACACATGCATGGATGAGTAACCATGTTTGAGACAACACATTCCCAATCCTCCACTTAATTAATATAATGTAAATAAATCCTTAGGTTTAGTTATGTAATTGTTGGTCAAAGATTAATGTTTTGTGTTTTTGAAATGTAATTAGCACTGGTACACATATCATTTCTTTTCTATGAAAATTTAGAGGTAGAAAAGCAATAAAAATTCTGGAATATTTTTACATTTTTCATGTTTTTCCTCTCTGAAAAAATCTATACTATTTTAAAATACCAGCATTTATGAATTTTTTTTTCCACATTTACCCTCTAATACTACAACAATGCCATTCTTATCCATATGAATTAATGCCACATCATATTACTTTTAAGTTTAAATGTCAAAATAACTAAAAACCTTTTGAATAGCCCCTCATCAACAAAATAAAGACAAATTAATTTCCTGTTAATGAATCTATTAGTATTTTTTACGGTGCTGACATTGTCGAATACGTTATCCCTATAAAAGAAACCAAAAAGACGGGGTGTGACTTTTTTTTTTCCAGAGTAATTGTAACTCTCACTTTTTCTCTTGCCGTAATTCTCCATAGAGCTTGAATTGCATTCCTTCTTAAAACCCAATGATCCTGTCCACACCTCTTATTTGGACTAGATAATGCACATGTGCTTGCCCGTGAATTTTTTGAGCTATGATTTTGTTTTAATTAAGATTTTTACTTTTTTTTTTGGATCAATTAAGAATTTAATTTGAAACAATCAAATAAGTACAATAGCACTAGATACTTATAAATCAAACAATTTAAATATACCTATTTTAAAATTTTTGTAATTTATAATAGACGTATACTACATTTTTTTAGAATGAATATTATTTTTTATTTTTTTTTACCAAGTCTTAATGTTTGATGAATTACTTTTNTACTCATCTTAGGTTTAATTTCAAAACCAAAAATTAGTCTTCTTGTGATACCTTAGGTGGAATTGATCTCGATATCGCCTTCGCACCTAACACACATGTTTTTATAAGACACGACTATCATTTGTAAATGCACTATGTTATATGTACACATGCATGGATGAGTAACCATGTTTGAGACAACACATTCCCAATCCTCCACTTAATTAATATAATGTAAATAAATCCTTAGGTTTAGTTATGTAATTGTTGGTCAAAGATTAATGTTTTGTGTTTTTGAAATGTAATTAGCACTGGTACACATATCATTTCTTTTCTATGAAAATTTAGAGGTAGAAAAGCAATAAAAATTCTGGAATATTTTTACATTTTTCATGTTTTTCCTCTCTGAAAAAATCTATACTATTTTAAAATACCAGCATTTATGAATTTTTTTTTCCACATTTACCCTCTAATACTACAACAATGCCATTCTTATCCATATGAATTAATGCCACATCATATTACTTTTAAGTTTAAATGTCAAAATAACTAAAAACCTTTTGAATAGCCCCTCATCAACAAAATAAAGACAAATTAATTTCCTGTTAATGAATCTATTAGTATTTTTTACGGTGCTGACATTGTCGAATACGTTATCCCTATAAAAGAAACCAAAAAGACGGGGTGTGACTTTTTTTTTTCCAGAGTAATTGTAACTCTCACTTTTTCTCTTGCCGTAATTCTCCATAGAGCTTGAATTGCATTCCTTCTTAAAACCCAATGATCCTGTCCACACCTCTTATTTGGACTAGATAATGCACATGTGCTTGCCCGTGAATTTTTTGAGCTATGATTTTGTTTTAATTAAGATTTTTACTTTTTTTTTTGGATCAATTAAGAATTTAATTTGAAACAATCAAATAAGTACAATAGCACTAGATACTTATAAATCAAACAATTTAAATATACCTATTTTAAAATTTTTGTAATTTATAATAGACGTATACTACATTTTTTTAGAATGAATATTATTTTTTATTTTTTTTTACCAAGTCTTAATGTTTGATGAATTACTTTTTTGTAAACTTCTACCCTTAAGGTTTAGAACTTTTCACATGAAGCTAATAATTTTGATTAATTTTATTTGTAATATCATAGTAGTGGTATAAATATATATTGTGGTATTCGGGTTTATATAACAAAAAATTATCGCGGTCACTTATTAAATTATGAATAATACTAAAGAGAAATTGTTTTAAGTTATGATGGTCATCTAATGATAAACAATTGATTGAACAAACTAAAAAATTTAAGTTGTGATAAGTAAATTAATGTAATACTGAATATTTGTGACATTGTTAACAGATAAAAATAAAATTTATTCTAATATTGGCAATACACATAACTAAAAATGATGTATTGAAACTAAAACATAAAAGAGAAGAAAATGAAAAGTTAGGATTTGATAATATTATCCAAGCTATATTAAAATAAATCTTATATTAATTAAGATCTTAGTGCCTTTATACACTTTCAATTGAAAAGTCAGAAACTTGTCATCAACTATTTTTTTTTTTGGGGGGAGGGGGAAAGGGGGCTTGAACCCTTGTCATCAACTAATAAAAATAGATACATAAATAAAAATAAATATAATTATTTTAACAGTTAACTTTTATATTTTAAAAGAAAGAATATGAAATGTTTGAATATGTATAATATTAATGAAGTTGTATTAATATAAATTCCGTTTTAATAATGTTAGTATTGCCTTCATTATGAGAGTAAAGTTGTCCAACTAAAAGTTTAGCATTAATAAAGTCCTATTAATATGAGTTCTACATTAAATAGGTTAGTATTGTCTTTATATTTTGTTTTAGGGGTAAAATAGTTGATCAAAAAATTTTCTTGATAGTTTATTTTCAT